GAAACACAGTATAATGAGGAAGTCATTAATATTCCCGAAAAGTCAAGATTAGCAATTGAAAATATCGGAATTACAGCAAGTGCACAGCCTTCCGCTGATGTTACAATTGCTATGACTAATGATAACGTTGTCCCGACGACGGATCAAGTTCCTTTGCAGTTGACAGTGCATAGTAACTTAGGCCATAACGAGAAAAACAATTCATCTATATCAATAGGAAGCGCATCAATAAAAGCACCTACTGTGAAAGTAAACACATCTACCGTGGTTAATATACAAATAAATACAAACAATACAGATAATGCTATTCTAAATACTTTCAGTGATACAAAACTAGCTGAACAAAATTTTACTGGAATAATGATTACTCAAAATAATTTAGTAGCAGAAAATAATACGCCGGATCTAATTTCTAAAATTAAATTAACAGAGCTGTCCCGAAGTGTGCCTAATTCACTTAGTGTAACAGGAAGTACTGATAAAGTTGTCGCCACGATAGACCAAGATAATGAACCATTAAATATTAAGACTATAATGGAAGTTTATAATGGTACAAAAAATACATCGGCACTTACAGAAAACACAATAACGATAAATCACACTGTCGTTAATTTAGGTTCTGATAATCGACAAAGAGTTTTTACCAACATGTTTCCTGGAAATATTCCTGTTAAAACTGACAAATCTGCAATATTACATCAATTTACTTTACCAGTTACAGCACACTTGGAAAAAGTAAGTAATATTAATGAAAGATCAGAAAAAAATATTTTTTCAAATAATGCCAACGTTGTTTTACCAGATATGTATAATGGTATAATCATTAATACTGGAAAGAATGTCAACAGTGTAGATGGGCAGAATATTAATGGTGAAAACTATAAAACAAGTGATTTGATACAAGACAACAAAAATAGTGTGAAGGTAGACTTAAATGTAGATTTTATAAAGTCTTTTATTGATAACGCTCCTCCTGCCAACAATAATGCTAACAACAATATTATGATTACACAAAGTATTTCAAATGAACCGCGACATAAAGATGAAAGTAATGGTGGGCCTATTGCAACGGAAAGAACTTCTACAAAGGTTCCTGACAACACGCTCATTAAAAAAATATCAAAATTTAATTGTGTCACTTCTGATATAAATAATTTGAGTGCCACAGAAGTTTCTACTGACAAAAGGTTTGATGAGTCCGGGAAAGTTACAAGCGTCACGGCTCCATCAGTTACTTCGAAAGATAATATTCAAAGTACTATTAATTCAAAAGAAAACAATATTCCTCAGTCACTACAAATTACAGCTACAAGTTCACCTATGGTATTAGTAACATCTACAAATTATAATACAACAAGTATACCTTCGACCGTACAATCGGTTGACAGTGTTGTAATTGCAGACATAGTTAATAACAAACCTACAGAAACACAAGACATAAAAACTGCAGTAAAATCTCCAATATCTGATATAACGACAGCTGAAGTTAAAACAAAAGTTATTTCCATTGGTTCAAATAACAGTGGTGGTATCTTAGACATTCATTCAATACAGTTTCCTCATGAAACATCATCGATTTCATCGGCAACCAAAACTATTGAAGATTTGCCATCATTATCAAGAAATGAAACGGCAGTATCGATTGATAGTGTACAAAAAATTGTTACAAAACATACTGCAAAAGATGGTTTTATAGATAGTGAAAAGATAACTAGCAGTGATAGTAAAACTACAGTCTCTGTGAAACAATTGAATCATTTAGATAATGGTAACTTCAAGAGCGTTTCCAACCCTGATATGTTGACCTCAACTGGTCAGAAAGTAGCTAGTCAAATAACAGTACAATCTAATAGTGCTAGTGCTACAAATACTCCAATGTTTACTATTACTGAAAATTTAAGTTCAAATAATTTAGGAAATCATCAGATAGAAAATACATTTTCCAATATATATGACACTTCACCTGATTACTCGCAAACAACACTAACAAAAACCTCTTCATCAAATTATTATTTAGGAGCTGTTAATAGTCCGGAGAATATAAATCCAAAAATAAGCACTGACTCAGTAAAAACCACTTATTCCTCGCTAACCAATATCCCACAAAGAGTCCATATTCAAAAAGCATCCACACCTGATTATTTTATGAAAAGTACAACCCAAAATCTGGTTTCATCAAAACAATTAAATGCACCTGGCACAGTTACCGTAACAGTGAAAAGATTATCTTCTCCAATCGTACAAACACTTACTAAAGACTCAATACAAAATATGATGGATCCGATCATTGCAGATCAAAAAATAATTTCAGTTAAACAAAACGATGACAAAATAATTCCGACTGCCATTCCTACTGTGTCAACCGTTAATTCCAATACGGATAAAAGAATTAAGATAGTGTCAACTTACAATACTGTTAATTCATTGAACAAAATGCCAAGCGCGACATTGCAACTGTCAGGCATACATCCTTCATTATCAAAAGATTATGTGAATACTTTCCAGATACAAAATTCGACTGATTACGATTTGAATAAACTTAAATCATCAATAACAAAATACATTAATAATATTGCCAAAACGGTAAATGTCCCTGCAGTAGAAAACAAACGAAGCACACAAAACATTTTGTCCACATCAGGATTTAACTCCAAAAATAATAGAAACGTTACATATACTACAACTCTATTCAGTAATAGTTTTGATCCAATAAAACCAAATGTTAATTACGTCACAAAGAAAATAGTTAATGATATTGGACTGAAAGGAGTAGTTACAATGAATTCAGAAAACATACCAATTATTTTAAAAAACGAACCATTGAATGCTTTTACACCTGGGTACACTCAGCCAGCTGGTAGTTTAAGTACAGTTACGGTGTATGACCAAAGTACAGTGAATAAGCCACTAATAACAGAATCTTCAGTATTGTCTACTAAAGTAAATAATATACCAACAACTGTACTGGGTAGCGAAAAATCATTGCTTTCAACCCTGACTCCGTTTGTAACTACTGGCAGTGACCCTACACAACGGTTTGTTACAAATTCAAACACCCACATGGTCCAATCTCCACTTTTAGTTAAGTTAATGAAAAATATAAATTCACCACAATATATCATTTCAAGTGTAAAAAATGATCAGTCAGTCATAGCTGATTCAAATACTCAATACTTTATGAAGTCACCTGAACCAGATTCTATGGTAGAAACTATGATTTTCACCAAAGAAAGAATAAATGAACCTTTTATTATCTCTGGAATTTCGAACGGTTTTCGTAGATCATATGACGGTAGTAATATAACTTCGGTGCAAAATAATGTTGACAGTGAAAAAAATGATACAGGATCTATTCCTAATAATAATAACCCGGATACAAAAGGAAGTCCTATTAAATTAGTTAATATTGACGGGGCAGATACTGTACAATATTCAGAAAGTGATGGCTTGTCTAACGATAATGTAGGGAGCGATAAAATAGAAGGGAACGAAACAAGTGAAAAGAAATCAACGTCGAAAGACTCTATTGTCAAAGGGGACGCAATTCGAAACAAATTTCTTCCTCCCTCGTTTGTAACGTCGCAAACTAATATAGATAATAATCCCATAGATCTTAAATTAAGGCGTGAAATAGGTACAAAATATTCCGCAGGCGCGATAGAGTCAGTAGCTTTTGAAGGAAATTCACAAACAGAAGCATTACAAGTAAATGAAAATGAGCATAATAGTAGTTACAATAACATTACACCGGACTTTCAAAAGTACCCTGTACAGCTGAATTTAGAAAACCAAACTGATAACGTAACCATTGTAAAACGTAATAGCACAACCAATGACGACTTGGTGGATCTTACGGCAACGAATCATACGGTTACAGCATATGTACAAACTTATTTGAACAAAGATGAAAAACAAGGCAATAAAACAAGTGACGCACTAAGATTATACGAAAGTAGTATGCAGAAAGCAAACACTGCAAATGTGCAATTAAATGTATCTAATAAAGTCAAAAGTACAAGTACAGATTCTCCTCCAGTTTTTAACTGTACAGCACGCGGTAGATACGCTGATAAGAATGACTGTAGGAAATTCTATACTTGTATTGGTAATCACCACCCAATAATGGGAACATGCCCAAATAATACAGTATTCAGCGAAATTAACAAACAATGTACGAGAAATTTATCGCATTGCGTTAGAAACAATCAATTTAGATGTTTATTAGAAGGACGGTTTAGCGACTTCTTTAAAGATAACATATATTATATTTGTGTTAGAAATTGTTCAAATCATTTTACGAGATACAAGTTACAATGTCAGGATGGTTATCATTTAGACAAGGAATCGGTAAGATGTGAAAGAGACGAAATGACGTCAACACAATCTGCGTCATCCGTTAGTGAAGTCAGCAATGATGAAACTACTACACCTAAAACTAAGTCGGAGAAAATAAAAAGTAGTAGTAGTGATGATTTTGAATGCGAAAGGGAAGGTAACTTTCCGTACGCTAAAGATTGTCGAAAATATTACGTATGCACTAAAGTTAAAGATGTTTATCGGCGTAAAATAAAAAAATGTTCCAAAGATGAAGTTTACGACAAAAAGAAGAAAAAGTGCGTAGACTCTGACAGTAGAGAATGTTAAGTAATAAAGGCATATATAGTAATGTAACATGTTTGTATTTCAATATTGTTAAGTGCTAAGTAAAGATAGGTCTAGATAGGATAGGATGTATGGATTGTAAAAATAAAGTAAGTTATCCTTATACTTAGTTTAATTTATTGTATGATCTATTATAAATTACTATTAAAAGTACCTGTGTACAATTTACATTTACATAAATTCAGATCTTTTATTTTTGACCCCATGCAAGTAAGTATTCAGTCTTTATAGTATTTTCAATAGATGACATATTGGTTTACATTCTTGGTCTTCGGTATGGTGCACCGTTATCTACAAATTGATCCTCGTCGTCTCTTTCTAATGTTACACAGAAGTTGTTAGAAAATATCGTGCATCGTATTGAGGATTCACCCCTCACAGGTCGAGGAGGACAGAAGTACGTCACACCGTTTGGAGTGTCGTCTTGTGTTACTCTAAACTTGTAATTCTTGCACTCTATTGATGTAGGTCGTTGACCCGAAAACCGATTGTTCAAACTCATACTTGGCTTATCGTCATTGTAGGACGGATCTTTTCTAGTTAGGTCGGATCCATAGAATTCAGGATTCGATTTGGTCGAATTGACCACAGGGCACTTGTATTTTTGAGGTGAAGTACAGGATCGGGTAAAACCATTAAAAATGGTGTTGCCAGAACACTTCAAGTTAATGCCTTGGAATCTGTTGCCGTTGGAGACGCAGAGGATGTATCCTTTGCATCCAGGTACGTTGGGATTAGCGATCCTTTCATTTCTGTGGCATCGAAGTCTTCTTGTTAAAGCTGGGTCAATGTAGTTGATGGCATCTTCACAGACCGCTGTGGATTCCTCGTTACAGAATGTTCCGGGGGGGCAAATGAATGTCGGACCGACTAACTTATTCCCGTCGCATATTCTCACTCTGTTGTTTCGTTCGCAAGTAAATCCAAACTCGCCACAATCATAATTTTGGTTGATGTAGTACGCAGTTGTAGAACTTGCGTAAATTGATATCTGCAAGAATAACATAATATTTATTTACAAAGAATATAGACCGGTTATGTGTGTCTACCATAAATAAGTACTGGGTATTTTTACCAAGTGCAAATAGTAATATCGCGCGAAATATTTGGCAAATGGTAGGTAATCTTTAGTACAAATAAAATAATCGTTCCTTACACTTTGAATGGAAAAGTTTAGTCTTCAACAATCAGTTGTAGAATTAGCACAGATAAATATATTTTGTTGTGAATTTGTGTGTGTATTTTTTTGGGAATTGATAAGTTTACACATAGATTAATAGTGACTGATTTTCATAAGGTATCCCTCAGTATAAATAGGTATTATGTATAAAACTATATCAGAACAATTAAATCAGTTAAAATATTTTTTTATCTTTATAAATTGATTATTAACGGACATGAAATCTTCTAATATTTTTAGATTAGTAAAACAACTAAAATAATATTAAATTTACACTTACCACTAATAAAACTCTTAGAAGGTCTGTACTGAACATTTTGGACCACTAACTTTATGTTGCTTTCGTGAAGTTCGAAATACGACTACCGGATAGTAACTGTTTTCTTTATACTCTCGAGTTAGGAGTCACTTAGCGTATTTAACACCTCTGAGCAATGTAGAGAAATGGGTGACACTGCCATAGTTATATTGATATAAAAATGTGTTTTAACGGTAAATCATTGCATGGGGCATTAAAGTAGGTGACAGACAAATGTGCTACATATTTTGGTAAACAAATAGATAAACGTACTTATCTATGTTGGTTTGGTATGTGCTCGGTTTTTTACAATTGTCTCAGGTTCCCTATGAGTGAAATGTGAGTTTAGCTATTACATTTTTTCAGATGTTTCTGGCGGAAACAAACCTTTATATTGTCCCATGAACGAACATAATCACTAGAAAGAAGTACCAATGAAACAATGGAACCAAGAATTGTACTGTGAACCTGATTGAAGAAGCTATGGAGTTACCTATGGAGTTTCTTGCTCGTTCTTCTCCATAGGACTCTACACGTTGGAACGAGCAAATTCATTTACTAGAAGACTGACCAACAGACTGAATGTTTTTTATTAATTTTTTTGTTTTGAAGTTCAACAGTGTGTTCCTGGTCTAATTGAAATAGATGATTTTGAATTCTGACTTGACTTCTAACTAGTGACCTATTACAGAAATAGGCACTCTTTACTTTAACCTATGATAGTTGACAAATTGTAGGGTTATGTAACTGATTCACCTTCATGTATTAGAAACAAAAAGACATAAATAATACCTAAATGCATTTATTAAACTAAGTATAGTGATATCTACAAATAATATAAGGTTACTCATCGTCGGAGGACGATTCACTGTCGCTATCTGAACTCGACGATGATCTTTCAGAGTCTTGTAGAACTGGTCCTCCGGTTTTGGCTCTGTCGATAAAAAAGTAACAATTAGATGGAAGAAGTATTACTGAGGAAAATGTTTAGGAACGTGTAATATTATGCGAAAAATTTGTCCTTTGGAGACACTTGCGCACGAATACTAAAAGGCTACTCAATTTTAATAGTACTTAAATATCGTGCCATCTCTGATACTGTTTCTGAAGAATTTGTACTTTGTAGTGAAAGAAGTATACTTAAGCGCGACTTAAAATTGAGTAACGTTTGAGTATTTAGACATCAGCCAGTTGGAAACTATTACTTTGGTGCTATCGGGTACACAGGTTACGTTTGGTCGATTTCCGGCCACCGTAAGCACGGGCCTGCGGACGGCGAGCACGGGTGACTCGCCGCCGAAGAAGAATCGATCCAGAAGTATTGCATTTCCATATCGAATAATTTCGCAACGTCACTATTTAGTACTTGTCATAACGTTGCAACACTGAAATTGTCAAATCTGGAATCGAATTAAAATTCCGAGTATAAGTGAAACAAACACTTTTCTGAAAACGGCACCAAATTCGGTATTTTTTTTATAGCATAAGCCGGTAAACGAGCAGACGGATCACCTGATGGTAAGTAATCGGGGCCGCCCATGGACACTCGAAACACCAAGGCATTACAAGTAAAATTGGGAATTTGAAGATTGTGGAGGATTCGGGGATTCGGGAGACGGGGACCATGGGTAATTGGGTCTCCGGTAACCTCACACGACGAAACAGAACGCAACCGTTGCTTCACGTCGGTTTTCTGTGAGGCCGTGGTATCACTGCGGTCGAACCGGCCCATTCGAAGCATGGCTATCCCACACTTTAATGCGGTATTTCGAGATAGTGCGGTGACTGGGCAACCGGCTGCCGCTTAACGTGTCGGGGTTTTGATTCCCGGAATAACTCTTTGTGTGATCCATAAATTGTTGTTCCGTCCGGGTGTATGTGAACTTGTATGTTTGTAAACGCATTCACGACATGGGAGAAAATCCTAGTGTGGGGCAACGTTTTCATACATACAAGTCGAACTGAGAACCTCCTTTTGTTTCCTTTTGAAGTTGGTTAAAAGAGGTTCTCCGCCGGCAGACCTAAACTAAACAATAACTGTACGGCTATTGATTAAGTTTGCACGGAACACGTTTAGGCGTATAATCACTCAAAAAATAAACAAGCTAAGCCGCGGCAGTAAAGATAGTTTAACAATAATATTTGATTACTCACAAATTGTATGCTTCGGCGACAGCTTGTGCGGCTGGGTGTAGTGAACCCGCGAGGCTGGAGTGTTGTTCAGTCAGTAAGGTCTCCACTTCTTGTTCTGATCGGTTCAGCATTGTACCCAGTACTTGAACACTGGCAGACATCGCCTCTTCAAAACCGCATTCCGCTAAATATGTTACTGCAGTCTGTTGGTAGAGAGTGAATGTGTCAATAAATTTATAATTTACTGTTACTGTGGTGGTATAGTGCACGTGTAAAAAACAGTACCATGTATTCATTTCTCTTTTTATTGTATTAACTATTGACATTCTGTTTGTTTAATATTGAGACATTCAAATTTATAATTCTACTAGCTGACCCGGCAAACTTCGTACCTATAAATGCTTTTATCACCTTTTAAAGCTTCCCTGGACTTCAGCGAACATTTAAATACCGAAATTGGCCAAATCGGTTCAGCCATTCTCGAGTTTTAGCGAGACTAACGAAAAGAAATTCATTTTTATTTATATAGATGTGACCTAATAATTAATAATTGTAATGACATTCAGTAATAATAACCCAAATCATTGATTCCAACTATTTTCTAATTTTGTATGCTGAAAAAGCTAACACAGCGTTTAAAAATGTTATTTAAGACCCTAATTTTACCTATGTTCACAATTAATGAAATGAATTTGAATTCTTTTCGCCAATGATTATCAGAAGAAATCAATATTAAAAAACAATAGTACTTAACCATAAATATTGCGCAAATATCAAATAGTTGCGCAAACTTATGCACATTACCTTTTATATTGAATGAAAAAATAGCATGGATAAAATATTTAGCTACTTACTGCAGCAATACCAGGTAGACCAATAGTAGCGGCTTTTTGCGCAATATTAGCCAATGCCTGAGGTCGCGCCGGTACTCCCGCGGCCTCCTCACGACGCAGGCGCCGCAAGGCCTCGTCCACACTCTTCCAGTTAGGGTCTGCCTTGTCCGTACTATCGGCACATAGCTCTATAATACTGCACACTGCTGTTGCTGATAATCTGAAATAGAATATTATATTATTTTGATAGCAGTAAGTACCTATTTGAAATTGGTCTCTGAAACTTATGTTTGACTCACATACTGTCATTTGTATGAAATCCAACTGTAGTTTACAAAACATAGCTTACTTACTTCTGTACTGGTGTCCTGACGTCCTTAGTCTCCTGTTCTTCTGAAACCGCTTGTCCGAAGTTCAGCATGTCAGCGGCGGCAGCACGCATTTTACTCTGAACTTCAGGTTCTAAAATAAAAAAAATGTTTGCCTTCTTCACATATTCACAAGTACTTTCCTTAATCAAAAATAAATTATATCGACTGTTCAACACAATAAAATATTAAAAAATAATCACACTTTCGTTAATTGATTTTATGATCAATTTATTTTTAGTATTTTTCCAGCAAATTTTAAGAAATAAGTACGCTGTTTCATGCTAAAAAATGTGACGTCACAATACACAATCTCGTACAAAGTTCATAGAAAACTGTCGTTTTTGACAGTTCGAGAAAAGTATTGAATTTGACTAGTTGACAAATACCAAATTATATGAATGAAGATGATTCAGTAATATGTATATGATTTGGATCTGCTGTTCAGTAATAGACCTTGGAACAAGGGGATTAACTATACCTACAAGAGTTTTGGGACTAAGAAACTGAAAGGGCTTGTATGTTTTTTGACGAGTGTTAGCAACAAGAGAAAGTATTCTGTAATTCCCACGGAGATTATAATCCCAGTATAAATGTACGACTAGTAATATTTCTTGACTTGTTGTTGTTAACCTGTCAATGTCATAAGTCACTCACCTTGTCCAGGGTATGTATTGATCATTGCCTCTAGCAGTCTCTCGACCAGTTTCACTCGTTTCCCGTGACCAAAAACAACCAACTGCGACCATGTTTGAGCAAGACGATCGCCCGCGCCGCCCACTTCTAATGTCTTTATTATCTGTTTACAAAATAAAATGTTATATAAAAATATTGTGGATGTTGTTGACATAATAGATAAACCTTAACGATTAAAGATTAAGGTGTATTTTTGTATGTCAAAAATATTTTTACATGACTGTGACGGCAATCTTTATAAACAATTGACAATATTTAAATATACTGAATATTATATTATGTAGATGTATAAACGTGCACGATTTTAAGTCGTAAAAGGTGTATGTTTTAGAACACAATGGTACGTTTAATTATAATAACTCAAATTACGAGTAAAGGCATTGTCGCCATCTTTAATTCAAAAACGTTTTATAAGTCCAAGTTAAAAATAGTTCGTCGGATAGTGGCTTATAATTTCAACTGGCCCGTCAGTTGTCAGGATGGCCGAGCGGTCTAAGGCGCCAGACTCAAGGTTCCCTTGCTCACTAAACGTGAGTGCGAGTTGTTCTGGTCCTCTCTGAGGGCGTGGGTTCGAATCCCACTTCTGACAAAATCTTTTGGTAACTTTTTGATATTTTATTAGATATTTTATTACTAGATGTATTGTAATTATAACTGCTTTCAATTTTTCTACTAGCTAACACACTTTTTTTAATGAAAACAAACATGATTTTACTTACCTCTTCCATAACAGATGGTTCAGGAACATAAACATTTGGTATTAATGTGTCCAGTAGCTCTAGAGTTTTCTCGAAAGGTGCGTGCCTATTAAATAGAAAACAGGTTTTATATTTCAATAATTCGATACCAAAAATTATTTATTAAAACAGCGATACATTACCTGCAAGTAACAGTGACATAGTGCCTATAGTAAATACTTTCTTTGTACGCATCCCCAACCAGTTTGTAGTTGTCACCTTTCATTAGAAGGGCATGTAATCTCTCCGCCATATTTATATCCTGGAAGAAATAAGTGCATGTTCTTCATAACTTCAGTATTCGTCAAAGACATCAGTACACCTACAGTAAAGTTGTGTAATAAATGCAAAAGCATGTGAAGAGTACCTTTTTATAAGGGGGAAAATCATCGAATGACTGCTCCCGCCTGGGTGAGGCGGGAGAGAGTGTAAGGCTCTTACTGTCTAAAAACCACCTTGTTCCTTCTCCTGCACGTCGAGCGGAGCCCCGGTAACCCGTTAGGTTCTCCGCGACATGTGAAGAGTACTTGATGTATTTGTTTCAAGAAAATAACAATGGATTTGCATGCAATTTGATATTTAGATACACATATTATGTAATTTAGCATAACACAAGTACATTTTTATGAAGTGAGTCAAGTATAATTTGGTACTTTACCTGCAAGTGATCGCTACAAACTCCCATAGCCGTGATGAAGAAATTAGTATCAGCAGGTTCCTTGGCATCCAAGCTATCTTGTTTTTCAAGTTCCTTAATTATTGTCGATAGAATGTCAAAACGCGGCCCTCCTGTAATGATACATTTTTATATGAATTTTCATGTGATTTAATTTTATTTTAATAATGAATAATATAAATAATGAAATAACGATAGAAATATCTGCTAAATTTTTTTAA